ACAAAATTCATAACAAATGAGGTTAGGAGATAGTGATCAATCTTTGGATGTAATTGCATGTAAACCCAAAGCCCCAACATACTGCAACATAACAACATTAATTAGACCTTTATAATCAGATTTTCAGTCATGGTGGTTCTAACATCCAACCTGCAAATCCACCACAAACAGGTTCATAAAATAAAAAAATAAGACCGGTTCTCCGAGAATGAAGAAAAAGATTTATTCTCAGTGGTTCATGTTTTCTATTGTTTTTTATCTTGAAGCAAACAAAAACAAGAATCCAATGGTCGAACCAATAAACAGACCATAGAGATGATGGATATCGTTAAACAATATCATCAGACATTTCTCTTGCATCTGAAAGCTTATCATGGAGGTCAGAAGATATCAAAGACGGTATCTCAGCTCGGTGTTTATGGAAGAACAAACTCAAATATGGTCAAGCCTCAAGCAAAACATACAAGGGGATAGAAATTCACAGTGGTGAACGAAAAGCCAATGCAGCATCAATAAGCATTAGAAACACCAAGTACCCTTTGCAGGCGGCCGGATGTACCAGAAAGGTTCTACAAGAATGTAAACAGCCCTTCAGTTAATGTATACTTGTTCTAAAACTCAAATCAAAAGGTTGATGCAGAATCAATAAACAGTCGAAATTTACATAAACATTATCATCATATTATTAGACGATGAACAAAGAAACTGTTACAGGGGATTCCAATATATTAGACAAATACAATAAACAACACACATATAAAGGAAATGAAACAGTGCGACGGTTAGGAGGAAACGACACATCAATTGGAAGAGCAGTTACTTTACCCAACTGTCAACAACGGTTACAAACGGCGTTTAGCTTATTTCCAACACTTCCCCATAAGCTAAACAACAGAAACACCCAACTTCCTTTTAAACCTTGTAAAATTCCCATGTTGAAGCGACTTGGTAAGGATATCAGCAACTTGGTCCTGAGATCTGCAGAAAACTACATCAACCTTTTTAAGATGAATCAGCTCTCGAATAAAATGAAACTTTATTCTTATATGTTCACTCTTTCCGTGGTAGACTGGGTTCCTAGTCAAACAGATCGCAGATTTATTGTCACAAAAGATCTGTCTACAGCAAACTTGAGGAATACCCAATTCTTCTAAAATCCCACGCAACCATAAAGCTTGGCAACCAGTTGAGGATAAGGCCATGTATTCTGCTTCCGTTGAAGAGAGTGCAACTACCTTTTGTTTCTTGGACTGCCATGAAATTGCACCTGTCCCTAAACTGAAAATATAACCAGTGGTACTACGACTATCGACTATGTTCCCCCCATAGTCACTGTCACTGAAACCAATCAGTCTAAAACCATTAGAAAAACTATATGATATACCATGGTCTAAAGTCCCCTTCACATACCTTAAAATACGCCTTGCATCATCCCAATGTTTCCTTCTTGGGCTTTCCATAAATTTGCTTACTATACTAACTGGAAACATAATGTCAGGCCTAGTTGCAGTGAGATACATAAGAGATCCTATCAAACTACGATAGAGAGTAGAATCAACTTCTCTACTTTCTTCACACTTTGAAAGTTTTAAGCCAAATTCCATTGGAGTGTCGGCAGTAATACAATCTGCCATGTTAAACCTTTGCAACAGATCCCTTGCATACTTCTTCTGTGAGATAGTGATATGGTGAGTCCCTTGTGTGGCTTCTATACCGAGAAAGTAATGCAATGGACCAAGATCGGTCATTTCAAAGTGTTGTTTCATGGACTTCTTAAACTCATCAACTAGACTAGTTGAATTTCCTGTGAAAATCAGATCATCTACATAGACGCACACTAGGAGAATTAAGCCCTCGTTTTTCTTGATGAACAAAGTATGTTCATAATTGCATTTTTTAAACCCATGTTCCAGAAAATGCTTCTCAATTCTCCCATACCAGGCCCTAGGGGCCTGTTTCAAGCCATAAAGGGCTTTCTTGAGGTGACATACTTTGTGTTCCTCACCTTTTCTTTTATAGCCTCTTGGTTGATCTATGTACACATTTTCTTCCAAGTGACCATTCAAAAAAGCTGACTTGACATCCATTTGATGTACAAGCCAGTTAAATTGTGCAGCAATAGCTAATATCAATCGAATTGTTTCAAGTCTAATGACTGGAGCAAATACCTCTTGATAGTTAATCCTGAATTGTTGTTTGTAGCCTTTTACCACCAGCCTTGCCTTATGCTTATCCACCTCTCCCTTCTCATTAAGCTTAGTTTTGTAGATCCATCTCACACCTATGGATTTCTGTCCTTTAGGTAATTCCACTAATTCCCATGTGTTGTTCTTTATGATTGAGTGCATTTCAGAGTCCATCGCATCCCTCCATTTCTTCTCTTGTCATGATTCTTCATAATCCAATGAGTCTGCATCTGCAAATAAAGCAAAGTCAGCAAGATTTATTGTAGTGATAGGCTGTGTTCAGTTGTAGATGTCACTCAGACTTCTAGTCCTTCTATTAGCATAATTTGAAGATGATGAACTTTCAAGACTATTATTAAAAGAATTGTGAGGGATTTCATCAACATTTGAAGAGGATCTGCTTAAAGAAGAATTCACATTAGACGTAGAAGGACTATCTTGGGATAAGTTCTCATCATGATTATTCTGATCATTTTGTTGATCATGATCATTTTGTTGAACCTGATTGCAATCAACTAAGATACAACTTCCACTGGAGTCACTGGACAGCCCTTCCCAAGTCTTCTCTTCATCAAACAAAACATCTCTACTTGTAATCACTTTCTTGGTCTGTGGATTATAAAGCTTGTAAGCTTTCGTGTTGGAGCTGTATCCCACGAAAATTGCCCTTTCAGACTTCTCATCCAACTTACCCCTTTTTTGCTTTGGTATGTGAGCATAAGCTACACAACCAAAGGTTTTTAGATGATTAACACTAGGCTTGAAACCATTCCATACTTCCTGTGGTGACTTATTTGACAAACTTTTAGTAAAAGACCTGTTTAGCAAATAAGCTGCACAAGCCACAGCCTCTGCCCAAAAAACATCAGGAAGTTTTTTTGATTTAATCATGCATCTGGCCATCTCTACTAAAGTCCTGTTTTTCCTTTCTACCACCCCATTCTGTTGGGGTGTGTAGCTTGTGGTCAATTGATGGTGTATGCCATTTTTCCTTAAAAACTCCTGAAATTCATATCCTATATATTCTCCCCCTCTATCAGTTCTTAGGGTCTTGATCTTGCATTCACTTTGATTCTCAACGATGGCCTTGAAGATTACAAAGTGGTTGAATACCTCAGATTTTTCTTTGAGAAAATAAATCCAGATTCTCCTACTGTAATCATCAATAAAAGTTAGGAAGTATCTACTCCCGCCAAATGAAGGTGTCCTCATTGGTCCACAGATGTCTGAATGGATAAGCTCTATTTGTTTAGATGCTCTCCAATTAGAATCATGTGGAAATGCTGCTCTTGCACGTTTACCCAAGGCACATCCTTCACAAATATGATTGATAGTGGTGACTGCAGCTAGGCCTTTAACCAAGTCAATCTTGTGCATGTGAGCCAAAGTGTTTAAACTCATATGACCAAATCTGTTATGCCAAAGTACTGAAGTGTCCTTAGTGCTTATGGCTAGGGAGAAAAATTCTTCATTTGTAAATTAAATGGGGAACATCTAGTTATATGTCATAGTAACTTTTCCTATCATAGTACCCTTAGAGTCAAGAACTTCACAACTTTCTTCCTTAAAAATGATCTTATAGCCTTTTAGAACTAATTGTCCCACACTTAATAAATTGTGTTTTAAGTCCAGGAACATAAAACACATTTGATATTTTCTTTTCTTTATCTCTAATCTTGAAAGAAACTTCACCACTTCCACAGACATTTAACTTTTTATCGTCACCTGTCCTTACATCCTTTTTTCAGAGTCATGTAGATTTACAAAAAGTTTTTGTTCCCAGTCATATGGTTACTACAACCACTATCAAGATACCAAATATCATTCGAGACATTTTCTTGGATACTTAACATCATAAACATGGAATCTTCTTCATGCCCATCTTCCTTATGTAAAAAACTAGATGTTTTGCTTTCTTCAACAATTCTTTTCCTACAAAATTTAATCGTATGTCCTAACTTATCACTGTAAAAACATTTAATTTTCTTAAAAGGCTTACCTCTGCCTTTTCCTTTGTAAGATGTTGAAATTTCTTCTCTGTTTGAGTCCATGTTCTTCAGTTTATCATTCAAATCATTCTCCCATGGTGTGTGAGTCTGGAATGCATGCTCCAAAGTGGTCGTGTCAAATTGCCTCATTCTGAGTTCATGAGACTGCAAAGTTCCCAACAGAGTTTCAAGTGAGAGGCTTGATAAATCTTTGGATTCCTCTATTGCTACCACCACATATTCAATTTTCCTTGTAAGACTCCTTACTATTTTTTCTACCACTCTCCTATCACTTATGCTTTCTCCGTTTACTCATCTGGTTGAGTAGTATAATAACTCTTGTATAAAATTCCTCTACAGATTCTGTTTCTTTCATTTTGAGACTGTCAAACTCACATCTCAAAGTCTGCAATCTAATAGTTTTAACTTTCTCTTCCCCTCTATATGATTTGAAAAGCATCTCCCATGCTTCTTTTGCTATTTCAGATGCCGAGATCCTCCCGAAGATGTTCTCATCTACTGCTTGATAGATAAGAAACAATGCCTTTTTGTCTTTTTTTCTGGATTCATTGAGAGCAGCAGTCTGTTGTGCAGACAATATAGTCGGATTTTCTGGTTCATCGACTCCACTTTCTATTATTGTCCATAAATCTTGAGACTCGAAATTACTTTCATCTGTATACTGCAGTGAAAATAATTTCTTCCATTAAGCCTCGGCAATTATGGTTGCTGAATGATTTGAGAACTTGAAGCCATTGGATCTTTGGATCTAATACCATTTGATGCAGAATCAATAAACAGTCGAAATCTACATAAACATTATCATCATATTATTAGACAATGAACAAAGAAACTGTTACAGGTGATTCCAATAAACAACACACATATAAAGGAAATGAAACAGTGCGACGGTTAGAGGAAACGACACATCAATTGGAAGAGCAGTTACTTTTGGCGGGAACCCAACTGTCAACAACGGTTACAAACGGTGTTTAGCTTATTTCCAACAAAGGTTGCAGAAGCCCTTCAGTTAATGCACACAAGATGCATATTCATTTTCATCAAACCTGTTAATCTTTCTCATTAATCAATCTTCAAGAATCAGAGATGAAAGAAACCTGTGAATCTGTATCAGTCATCAATCTTGAATAATAAAACCATGTGTCAGCAATTACCAAAAAAAGTCAAAACCTTCAAGTAAGAGAAAGGTTCTTGACAAAAACACATATCAAAAGGAACATTCATCTGCTTGACGATCAAAATCACAAATAGAACACGGAACCCCACAGTCGTTCCGATTTTGAAGAGAAAGCAAGAGATGAAACTTCAAAACATAAATCCTCATAGATAAAATGTTTCTTCTTGCTTTATCAAGATATTCCTTAAAAATTCATGAAATGTTGAGACAATTTTGTTGAATATCAAGAAGAAACATATTTTCTTGGGAAATTCAAGAGAGATGCAGTGTTATTATTCATTATTAAAGAGGGAATAGATGATTTTAAGGTGTAAAGTTAAAAAAAGATTAATCAAACAGTTTGTAAAAGCGAGATGAAGGAACACCTGCGCCGCCCTTCTCCTACTTGCCACTGTCTCGTTCTTCGCCATGAACACCTATGACGCAGCCTCCTCCTCCCCCATCGATGATTCCAACATCTAAAACTGTCAATCAAAGAGACATACAACAAATAAAAATTTGGGGGTGAAAAAGCAGGGAGCATATTTGATCATTTCATCAACAAAAAAGCAAAGTACTTCAAAAACGGAAGCAAAAAGCATAAAACCTTACCTGTCAAGATGGAGGATGCCTTCAAAAACAGGGATAAAACCTTACTGGATGGAGAATGTGGCCTGATCAATCATCTTTTTTTGTTGTTGGTACATACTTACCTTCAAGTAACAGAATGGGTTCTGATATGCTAGTTTACTATTTTGTTGTATATTTCACTACCAAACAGCACCTCTTTCCGGCAGACAAAACCGCCGGAAATTGGTTTTTCCGGCAGATTTGTGCGTCGGAAAAGAAGGCATCGGTGATTCGTTTTCCGTCGAGTTTTCTGATGGATACATTATTTTTTCGGCAGATTTCGGCCGCTGGAAACTTTCGCCGGCTTAATTAAGAAAATTTGATTTTACTTGATAAAAAAATTAAGAAAATTTTTAAAATGGAATTTTAGTTTACCGGTGTATATTTCCGCTGGAAATCTGCCGGATTTTTTTCTCGCCAAAAAAATATTTTAATTAAATAAGATTTTCAAAAAACTTTTTTAGAATTTTACCGGCAGATATATTCGCCGAAAATCCACCGGTTTTATTATTTATTTTTTTAATATTTATTTAAATATTTATTTAGTTTTAAATATTATTAAAAAAATTCAATATTACCGGTGGATATATCAGCCGAATTAAAGAATTTATTATAAAAAATTTATTTTTTGTTTATTGTTTCAATAAATATTTAAAACTTGTAAATCTGTAAAAATATGGATAAAACTAAAAAATTAAAATGAAACCAAATATCATACATTAAACTAAACATTTGTTACAAAACATATACAATTTAAAGTATCACACAATGTTACAAACAAACTAAATTGTTCCAAATAAACAAACGATATTGAATTAGATGGCGGTGGTAATTGTGATTGAGTTCGTTAAACATAGCAGCCATATCATTCATTTGTTTCAGAAGTTGTTCCTCCACCGTCCGTCGACGCTGATTTTCTTCTTGTAAATCAAGAACTTGGGCCTCTGAGTTTACATTTTTCTATAAAATAAATAAAAACGTTATAATATTTAATATGAATTATAAACTAAGTCGATAAACATCATCAAAAGAAAAAAAATACACAAACCCGCTTTTCCCAAGACGATGAACCAGCTTCCGTGTAGTTCCCGGTCAAGACACAATTGGGATCTTGGTTGTACCCAAACCCAAATAGACGACCTTTTTTGTTTCCCCCAACCGCTTGCTCCCACAACTCTTTATCAACTAAGGGATAGGTAGAGGGATCATCGTCGTATCTTTGGTTGAGACCTTGAATATTCATCCTATATATGGTTTAAAAAAAATTGCAAGTCAATTTTGACAGCATGACGGCTGTAAATGGGACGTTTCCAGGCAAAATAATAGTGATAGATACGAAAATTGCATCCAAAACAATTCTAACGTTTGTCCAACAATTGGCAACCCAAACTAAAACATGATATATACGTAAGTTCTAACGTAAATAATCTTAATGTTTGTCCAACAAATGGCAACCCAAACTAAATAATTATATATACACGTAATTTCTAACTAAAGCAATTATAATGTTTGTCCAACAAATGGCAACCCAAACTTAATAATGATTTATACGTAATTTCTAACTTAAACGATCCTAATGTTTGTCCAACAAATGGCAACTCAAACTAAATAATGATTTATACGTAATTTCT